TATTTTTAGCTGCCCAGCTAATTTCTTTCTATTTTTTTAGTAGACACGGGGTCTCGCTCTTGCTCAGGCTGGTCTTGAACTCCTGACCTCGAGAGCGATCCTCCCGCCTCGGCCTCCCAGAATGCTGAGATCACAGGCGTGAGCCACCACGCCCGGCCCACTTTTGGTAGACCTGGGGTCTTGCTATGTTGCCCAGGCTGGTCTCAAGCGATCCTCCCGCCTCGGCCTCCCAGAGTGCTGGGATCACAGGCGTGAGCCACCGCGCCCGGCCACCCACCCAAGTTTATAAGCCTCTGTCTCAGAAACCACCAACCTTCCACCCAAATTCATTTTCCTCTTTTGCTAACAGAGGTGTAGACAAGCAGACGGGGGAGAGAACACAGTGGGTGGCCCCGTGTGCGGAGGCGGAACCAGGTCCTCCCCGGGAGGACCTCGGTGGCAGCGATCTGTGCCCTCCCGGGCCTTCCACGGCGGCCGCACGGCCCCTGAAGCTTCCTGCCCTTCCCGTGAGCCCAGACACAGAAACCCCTGCCTCAGTTTACCGCACGGCCCAGGAGACACCCTACAGCAGGAAGACGCAGGCAGCCTGGGTTTCTAGACGCCGCGCAGAGCGGAACCACCCTCCGGCCTACGCCGCTGGCGCCAGAAAACCGGCTCCAAATCCACTTCCAGACGCCCGCCTGCCCAATCCACGCTCACGACGCGGACACGGGCGGCCTCCCGCGTGCGAGAACGTTCCCCCACCCCGCAGACCTACTTGGTGTTCTCCAGCGTCTTGCGCATTTTCCTGGTCATCTTCTCAATGGCCGCCTGTCTCTTGTCTTCGGCCAGGAGGTCCGTTTTGTTGAGCACGACGACCAGCCTCTGGCAGGCGATCTGGCCGATGACCAGGCATTCCGCCGACTGGGTCTGCATGCCCTTGGTGACATCGATGACCAACAGCATCAGATCAATGATCTGGGCGCCTGGGAGAAGAGGAGACGAGGTCAGAGAGGGAACAGGGGCCGGCGAGCCCTGCAGCGAGTCCGGGGGTTACTGGGTGGACTTTCTGCTCTGGTTAAAAAATGCGCGACGTGGAGCGAACGGGGACCACGCGCCTTCAGGCTCCGGGCCCCCGTGCGAAGGACTTGGACCTGAGCCATCTCCCTGAACCATCGTGCAAGCTGAGGACAGCGAGGTCCACCGAACACACGCAGCTGCCCAGGGCCGCGCGGCTAACGCGCAGCGCGGCGACTCCAAAACCCAGACCCGTCTACTGCATACTGCACCGGTCCGAGCATTTCC